AAAGCACAACCTTTTCCCCCTTTTTGGCATCATCGAAAAGTTGCATAAAAATATGAGATAACCAGATTTTAAAGCTTACTCATGGCCACTGAGGCTACTTCAAATGCAATCATGGATTAATCATCATAGATCAAGCTAATAATTTTAACCATCAAAGAAATATAAACAAACAGTTAGAGCAAAAGACAGTGAATTTCATTGATGATTGATAAGATTCTACCACAAAGCATAAGAAGAAATAAAAATACTGAAAACATGAGCAAAAGAAACAAAAAATCCCGAACTGGGTCACTGGTTAATCTACACTAGGCTAGGAGGCTTAAGGCTGGGAAGAACTAGGTTCTTGGTTTTTAACTTGGAGGAGTTTCAGCACATCTTGAAGAATGCTATCATTCTTCTCTTTTTCTCTTGCCAGCTCAGTTCTGAGAGCATCTCTCTTAGTCTCCATCTCAACCAAACTCTTCTTCAGCCTTTCAATCTCAGCATCCTTAGGCCCACTTTCTTGCACCAAGGCTCTGACCTTGCTATTCACTGGTACCTTTTTGGATGAACTAGGTTCTTTAGGAGTGACATTGACTTCATATCGCAAGCAAATAGAGTATTAACCCAAAATGCTCTATGCTTGTACTAAGCTCCCACCTTTTCATAGGTACATTGAAATGTGCAAGCACAGTTGTGAGAATGAAGCCATAGGGAATGGTATGAGTTTCTGGTGCCATTAATAACTCTATCAAGAAGTTGGATTATAGCTTTCAGTCACTTTCTTCTGCATGTTTTGCGAGGGTTTCCTCTATAGATGAACCAGGTTCATCCAAACAACCATTGCACATGCGTCTTTGGTTAAACTCACAAGAGTGGGTGAAAAATCAACCACTCTTGTCCCCTTTCCCCTCACAGTACTCCTAGCACCCTTGCTCTCCCTTTTTTTCTTTTTCATTTTTACCACCAACTTCTCCAAATTCTGTAGTCTCAACACCTGATATAGATCCTACAAATCTAGTTTCCAAATCTGCAGCAACTTTAGAAATTATCTCGGAAGAAACTTTAGAATCAGAAGATACCTATTCAATTTCGGAAGAACCACTTTCTTCCCCCTGAGTAGCAGACTTAAAAGAATATAGGTAGTTTAATACGGTCAGGAGTCTTGAACGTAACTGGTTCACTTGTAACGAATAAGTTCACAAGAACTTTGGTATTTGGTAGGACTCTGCTCATGATCCAAATATAGTTATTTCAAATTATGTAGAGTGTAGAAAACATACTGTGTTATCTTGATGAACCAGGTTCTTCACTGATAATTCTCTTGTGTATGTCTAAATTTGCCAAAATAGAGAAAATATCATTAGAGATTAATGAGTCATTTTAACACATGATACAAGAGTATACTATGGAAAGTATGAGACTGAGCAAGATTTAATCGAACTATACACAATTTATAGACTTTCTAACCAAATATATTTTTTCAGGTTTTTTTTTTCATTTTTTTCGTTTAACGTTGAACTGGTCCTTTTAGGTGATCTTAATCATCCCTAATTCCAACATGTTCCTCTCAAAGTGATCTTTACTTAAGGCTTTTGTGAAGATGTCAGCAATTTGCTTGTAAGTAGCACAAAACTCCACAGTGATCAAGCCTTTCTCATAGTTGTCCCTCAAAAATGGTGTCTAACATCTATGTGCTTAGTTCTCTTATGATGAATCGAATTCTTAGTCATACTAATAACACTAGTGTTATCACAAAAAATAGGGATGCAACCAACTTCAATACCAAAATCCATCAACTATTTTTTGATCCACAACAATTAAGCACAATCATGAAGCAGCAGCAACATACTCAGCTTCAGCAGTAGATAAGGCCACTGAATTTTACTTTTTAGTAGCCAATGGCATAAGACATGAACCAAGGAAGTCTACCATACCTGAGGTGCTCTTCCTATCCACAAGAAAACCTACATAGTCAGCGTCAACATATCCCACTAGGTTAAAATTACTACCTTTTGGATACCAAAGGCAAAGGTCAGTAGTGCCTTTCAAGTATCTCAATATTCTCTTGACAGCAGCCAAGTGGGATTCTTTTGGATTTGCTTGAAATCGGTCACAAAGCCCTACACTGAAAACAATGTCAGGTCTGCTAGCAGTAAGATACAAAAGAGAACCAATCATTCCCCTATACAACTTCTGATCAACAGATGAACCAGGTTCATCTATATCCAATTTTGTGGATGTTACAATAGGAGTGTCAATTTCTTTGGATGTTCCTTCCTGGTTTTGTTAATGAGGAATATGTTCATAGACAGGTTCCCTCGAGGTTTGAGGATTAGTTTCTCTCTAGTCAGTTCCCCCTGTCATGTTGCCCTGGGTGGAAGGACCTGTTCCATCACTTGTTCCTTCCTGCGATGCATCTTCAGGCTGGACTATGGTTTCACCATTTGAATTTCTTACCAGCCCAATCTCTTCATTATATTGTTGTTGCCTCTCAGAAAGAATGTTAGTTTTTTTAAAAAATAACATATACATTTTTCTACACATATAGTTCTTTTACTATATATCTTATAAGCTTTACTATATGAAGAATATCCCGAGAATACTCCCTCATCACTTCTGGGATCACACTTACCTAGGGAGTCTTTGCCATTGTTGTGCATAAAGCACTTGCATCTAAATGCCCTAAGATGAGATATATTTAGTTTTCTCCCTTTAAGTGACTCATAGGGAATCCTCTTAACAAGAGGTCTAGTCATGCAACTATTTATGATGTAGAATGCAAAAATTCAGCAAACTTAGCATTTTCAAATGCAATTCCATGATCAGACCTAATTGATGCAAGTTGATTACATAGTTATTTCTGAGTTTTTCTAACAAAAGAAGTAAACATGTCAAATGCTTCATCTTTAGATGTTAAAAACAATGTCTAAGAAAATCTAGAGTAATCATCAACAAGCACTATCACATATCTTTTACCACCTCTGCTTAATGTTCTCATTGGACTATAGAGATCCATATGGACCATTTCCATCGTTCTGGTGGTGCTTACCACTTTCTTGCATTTAAAAGAGCATCTTACTTGCTTTCCCCTTGCACAAGCCTCACAAACTTTGTCTTCCTTGAACTTGATGTTAGGCAGCCCTATCACCAGGTCCTTAGAGAATAATTTGTTGAGTTGACTCAGACTTGCATGTCCAAGTCTCTTGTGCCAAAGGAGGGGATCATTGTCCAACATACTTAAGCAAGTGATTTCATTTTCTGAAAGTGTGGACAAATCTACAATGTATATATTGTTTACTCTTTTTTACCTACAAAATAATCTTGTCAGTGGTAAGATTAATAGCAAAACATTTGGTAGAGGTGAATGCTACCAAGTTACCTCTATCACATAATTGTGATACACTGATTAAACTGTACTTTAGGCAAACTATCAACTAGACATTCTCAATAAAGTGAGAATCAGTCTTACCTACCTTTCCAACCCCAATGATCTCACATTTCTTCCCATTTCCAAAGGAGACATTACCTCCTTTGAGGTCCTCAAGTGAAAGGAACTGGTTCTTACTTCCTATCAAATTCTTTGAGCAGCCACTATCCATGTACCATATTTGGTTTCTCGCCTTCACTTGGACCCGCAAAAGGAAATCAAAGGTTAGTCTTAGGAACCCAAACTAATTTGGGTCTCTTTCTATAGGCCAAAAAGTGAATCAGATTCTTTTTAGCCCAACCTGGCAGCCTATTTTTCCCTTGAACAAATTCTTTATTCTTTTGACTAGCCTTTTCTTTTGCAATACATTCATTTTTGTAGTGACCAGTTTTACCATAGTGTGTGCAAATTTTATTCTCAGGAAGTGTGAGGTACTTGCTTATGGGATCCCACTTAGGTGCAGGGGTCCTGTAGCCAAGTCCTCTCTTGTTGCTACTATGGTGTTCGTGTAGCCATGAAAGTGCATCGGAGGACCTGTTCCATTTACAGGTTCTGTCTAGCTCGTGCTTAACCATGTTTAGATCCTCCTTAAGGACTCTTATCTGCTAATCTCTTTTGTACAACTCATCTTTCATTTTTCCTACATTTTCTTCTAAAGTGAGTTGTGTGGGATTAGCTTTATTTTTACCAGTTCCTAATTTCAATTTTAGATTTCCAAATCTAAGCTCTAGGACAGTGGTGTCAAGTTCATGAACCTGATTATTTAACTCAGCATTTTCACTTTCACTCTCATTAGCCCTACACTCTAGATTTTTGCAATTGGCTTTTAGGATCATACATTCCCTAGACAGCTCTTCCTTCTCATTGTTAATTATTGTGAGCACGTGAATTTTGCCGTATATGAATTACTCCCATAAATTCAAACAAAATAATTTCTTTTCATTATTTGGAATTTTTGAGGATTTTGTGGCATTTTTTGATAATTGTTTGCATTTGTCTGTGCATTTTTATTCTTGTTTAAAGTAATAGAAAATACAAAAAAAATATGTTGCATCTGTATTTAGGATTTAATTGTACATCTTTTTAGATTATTAGCAAATTAGTTGTTTTATAAAAGTGGAAAATCACAAAAATAACTTATTTTTGCACTTTTTAATTTTAGTTTTGATTTTTGGTAATCTTTCCTTTAATTATGATTTTTATTATTATTTAGAGTTAATTATTTGAATTTGGTAGGATAATTTGATTTGGGGATTAATGTAGGTGTTATTTTTAATTTTTGGGAAAGGAAAAGAATTTTGAAATTAAAAAGAAAACGAAAAAAGGGGTTTCAAAGTAATACAATTCAAACTTAGGCTCATTAATTGAACTCTCCTCAGGCCCACGCCCATTAACCCAGCAAATCAGCCCGGAACCCGTCCGCTACCCGGTCCAAGCCCTCTCCCTTTAAGGTAAAACGGCGTCGTTTGGAGTTCTCAGCTTGGAAGCAATCTGAGCCCTTCATATTCTCGCATCCAATGGCTGATGAGGTTTCATAAAGTGTGTATAACACTATCTGAAACACCTCAGAGACAAACCAATTCATCTTCTCCATCTCAAAGACCTAATCCACTGCCCTGTCTACTCACCGGTGGAGCCCCCTCAAACCGGCTTCAAAACCACACCCTTGAACCCTCTCACTCTCCTCTCTCTAAATCTCAACACGGCTCTCCTCGAATCCATCTCAATCTCTTCAAATCTTGAATCAAAACCCGGAATCCTAATTCCTTCCTCACCTCTGTCTCGTCCTTTAAAGGTCTGGTTTGATTATTCTCCAAGCTTGAAGGATTTTTGACTTAAAACATGTGTTAGGCGGGCTGTTCTCACAAGAACAACCTGAATAACACTCGTTTTGGGTTCAAATTGAAACAGCTAAATAATCTGTGCGAACCCATCGTCCATTCGTCCCTTCAGGTATTTCAGGTCTTTTGTTTTTTTTATTTGTAATTTCCTTTCAAGCTTCGTCTGTTTCTTTCCTTTCTCTAATTTTGCTACTCTTGCATATCATGCCCGTTAATTTTAGTTTATTTTTTTCTTCTTCTTTCAGTCAGTGTTTGTCTTAGTGTTTGTCTTGTTTTCATTTTGTTTTTAGAACCCTCATATTGCCGTTTAATTGAAATGTTAAGTTTCGAGTGTTCATATAATTCTGGCTGCCCTATTATCGAATTTTTCTGTTGGGTCTGGGTTAAATCAAAGGCCTAAAGAAGAAGGGTCAGTCCGAATGGCAGGCCCAGGGTTTGGGTTTTGGGTAAACTTGACCCAGGCTGGTTTTGAGGGTAAATAACCTAGGCTTAAAGGGTAATTCAGGTTTTTTTAAGTAGGTGAATCTGATGTAACTGCCCAAGGAAGCTTCCTAGAAGCTGGGTTGGGGGCTTATGTGAAGGTATGATCTTTAAATTAAGGGCACAACAACAAAAACATAAATTGGAAAAGGATTGAAGAGCAAATTCTGAAATCTTTATTGTTGCCCTAACACCCCTGTATAAAAGCCCCCATTTACTGAATTTTTAAAGGGGATCAGACTTGGAAAACTAGAGACGGCTAGATAAAACACTGAATATTTCTCATTGTTTCATTGAGGCACTGTTTCATTGAGAAAAATTAAAACACTAAAAATTTGACTCTTTGAGAAAAACATTGAGGCTGGGTGTGTTTCTTTGGGTTTCTTAAAATTTGAAGTGATTTTGACTCTTTCTGGGATTGAAATGGTTTGAGCAAGCTAGAATTGTTGTTGTTAATCTGCTGAATCTCACCCCACTCTGCTGCTGATCTTCTCCCTGTTGTTTGCTTTGATTTACCAGGTATCTCCCATTCTCGGACATGTAAAATGGAAGAACAAGAGTTTTATTTGATTAAGTGGCAAACTATGTCATACTAGCTTGTAAATGTAGTTTCTTTTACTTCTAAAAATCAATCAGATTTCATAATTAGCTTGGTCTCTTATCACATATGTCTCTTCCTGGTTCATTTTGAGTTTGTTTGTAGCTTTGGAGGAAATTCTGAGTTTTAACCAATTAGGATAGATGAGCTCAAGTTCTGTGTTTGTATAAATGGGTTGTAAGGCTATTGTAACGAACTCGTGTGATGTTTGTAGGTTTGGGGGGTATTTGTTCAGTTTCTGCTACGACCAGTGCTATTTTAGCATTAATTCATCTCTAAATGTGTTAAGAATGTCAAGTAATGGTTTGCTTGCTCATAGCTAGAAACATGATCCCATCATCTGGGGTTCAAATGGTTTTGGTATTTGCCTTTGTTTGCAGTTGGGGGCTTCTCCTTAAGCTAAATAACCAGTCTGTTTATTGTTGATGCATCGTTATGGAAAGATTGACCCAAAAATGCATGAAAGGTGGAATTAAAAGTTTAGCTTAGTTAAGTTGTATTACTATCTAAAATCAGAATGGGAGTCTGTTTAATTCGTTTCCGTGTCCATGTTAGCATTAGTTAATTGGCATTATTTGAGTGGCATGAATAATTCAGAGTATGAGAACTGGGCCTAATGCAGGCCCATCTAAAGGAAAATCAAACTTGGGCACCTTTCCTCATCATTAACTGGGATCATTTCGAGTCGGAGTTTAAAGGCATCTTTCAAAGGGGCCCGTTCAATTATTTCGTCAACTAACGCGGCGAGCTTCAATTAATTAGTGTGGTCGAACTTTTAGTTCAATGTAATTAGAGTTCCCATAAGCTTCCCTTAATTAATTGATTAGATCTTTAGTTAGATGAGGTGTGCCATTCGAAATCAAATAGTTTATGGCCCTCTAAGTATGCTGAAGAAATTAGTTCTCGAGTGAAATGTAGTTTGGGTCTTTGGTGACATTACTGGAGTGAAATCTGTTGAAATGGTCTTTAATTTATTTTATTAAAAAGAAAAACCTATTATTTGAAATGTTGTGGGGTTTGGATCAAAAGAGCAAACAATATTGGGTTACAAGATTTGGATTTAAGAAACAGATTGGAAATGTCTTTTAGTAATTTGAGGCGAGCCATGTTAGACGAGTCATAATTTATGGCCCTCGAAAGCTAAGTTAGAAACTTTGATAGAACAATTTGAGGTGTGCCATACCAAATAAAATCCTAAAATTCATGGCCCTCGCTTAATTAATACTTGAATCCTTAGAAATTGAAGCGCGCCATTTAGTTGAATTTTCCATGACCCTCGCAAAGTTGAAAATGCATAGTTGCTTTAGGCGCGCTATTTAAAAATTACCTTCCTAAACTTGGGTGTGCATTTCATGTGGCCCAAATCCAAATCTTAACAACGTTAAATAAAATGTGTTTCGCACTGCGGGTGCATTTCATGTGGCATGGTCCAAAGACGTATTTTAGATGACGTTGAAATCTTCCTTTAAATAATTAAAAGCGGTTAAAAATTTAAAATGGTATAATAGGTTAAAAAGTGTTTCTAAAATCAGATAGTTAAGCCAAATGTAACAGTTGAGCAACCATGCTAGAACCACGGAACTCGGGAATGCCTAACACCTTCTCCCAGGTTAACAGAATTCCTTACTCGGATTTCTTATTCGCGGACTGTAATACAGAGTCAACCCTTTCCTCGATTCGGGATTCAGCCGGTGACTTGGGACACCATAAATTATCCCAAGTGGCGACTCTGAATCTTTAAATAAATAAATCCCATTTCGATTGTCACTTTAAGTTGGAAAAATCTCCCCTTATACCCCTTCACGGGGATGTAGGTAAAAAAAGGAGGTGTGATAGCTCTGGCGACTCTGCTGGGGACGGAACCCAAAATCTCGGGTTTAGGGTTCAGAATTTGAGCTTAGAATAATTGTTGTATGTGGCTTTATTTATTATCTGATTTTGTTACATGTTTGAATTTGATGTGCTAAGTGTTGCTTTTACCGCTTTGATATTATTTGAACTGTATATAAACTGCTATGAAACCCTTCTCTTCTCATCTTCGGGGATGTGCTCGCTGGTCGAGACTCCCTATTCTGTTAGTGTCATACCTTGAAATAAGAAAGAGGCTCGGACAAGTTACTAAGCCGGATGGCCTTTTGGTTCCCGGTACGTAGCCCCCTCCTCGGCTCGAGTTGTCCGCTCAAGTACACAGTCTAGAACAAATACCCAGGTTTTGAACCTAGAATAACTCAGCCTCATACCGGATCCCTAAATAGGAACATTTGTTTGCATCATGTGCATTTGAATTTGGAGACTCAACACAGGGGTAGGTCTGTCTAGGACAGGTGTACCCGAAATGAAAAGACCATCTTGATGCATCCTATGTGCTACATGTTGCATTTCCTCAAGGATAAAAGGGTCATTTGGTGGACCAATGATAGCTGAGGGTAAATGAAGAAAATAAAACAATGAAAAAAAAAGAAAGAAAAAAGAAAAGAAAAAAAGAAAAAGAGAGGGTGAAGTATGAAGATAAAACAAGTGGGGCCCAATTATGTTTTCTGTTACATTTTTGTTAAGGAAACAAAAGAGCTTGAAAATTCAAAAAAAAAATTGCACTTTTGCATCATTTTCCGAAAATCAGAATAAAAAAAGGAAAAAAATCCAAAAAGAGTTTACATGTTTCATCATTTTTTACAAATAAAAAACATATTTTCGCTGAATTAGTTATTTTTCTTTAATTTTCGCCCGTATCCAATCTGCCCGAACTACGCATACCTGATTCTCGTCTTTCGGGACGTGATACGTAGGCAACCCACATAGGGTCCGGTCTTCCTATTAAATCTTAGGTTCTTGGCTTTGCGAGGTCATAGCCAAATTTTACACTTCTATCCACCTTTTGGCCAAATAAGCCATTTTGCAAAAATAGTCTCAATCATGTCTTGCATGTGTCTTAGGAAATGTTATTGTCTCACATTGTGCTAGTTTAAGTTTTTTATATAGGTGTGGATCTACTTACTGGAGTTTGAGCATGACAGATACCCCAGGATCACTGAATTTAGGAGCTGCTCGAGGAGCCATTTTATGTTTTTGAGTCAACTGTTTTTGTTTTATTTTCTAGTCCCGTATAGTAGTATTTTGTCTTTTAGGTGATGTTAGAGTTTGTAATAGTCAGGTTACGTTTTCCGAGTCTTCTGTTATTGTATTTATTATTTTGAAATGTGTTACAAGTCGAAAATCAAAAAAAAAATTGCGTTTTTATATTTTCGTTATAAGTTTTCTTTAGAATACTAATTCTAGAAAATTAAAAGAAATCCTCTGAGATTGTTTTTCCTTTAGACAATTAATATCAAATAAAAATTGCTTTTATATTTCCTTTACTATATTGGGACCAAATTCAAAAAAAAAGAGAATTTTCTTTTAGTACTTTTTAAAATCCTTCTTTAAGGTATTAATTCCAAAATCCAAAAAGATTTTCTTTTGCGGTGTTTCTTGGGGAAATTAATGAAAGATGAAATAAACAATTCTTTTTATTTTCATTAGAACTTTAGGATATTGTACGTAGAAAAAAGGCATACTTTATCCTTTGTTTATCATTAGAAATTCTTCTTTAGGCAATCAAAATTGAAATCCAAAAATATTTTGTTTTATCTTTTTCACTGCTTGTTTCGAAACCTTGCATCAGAATATCAAATGAAAATTCTAAATACTTTTCTGTGGTTCACTCTTTAGATTTTCTTCCTAAAAAAAAGGAATCAAAAAATATCTTTCTCTTCTAGAGTTTTTCCTTAATAGAGTATTTGTTTCAAAGAAAAGAAAAAAATCTGTTAAGCTTGAGTTTAAAATAGGTTATAGAACATTAAGTTTAGAAAATTCAAAAAAAAAAAAGATTTGCTTCATTTATTTCTCTTTTCTCAGCAGAGTAGTCATTAAGGTAAAAAGAAAAGAAAAAAAAAAGAAACAGAGAACGTCAGGTTGTTTCCTTTATTCCTGACCTTCCCGAACTACGCAAAGATCTGATTCATACGGCGTCATGATACGTAGGCAACCAACATAGGGTTCGATCGAATCATTTTTTTATTTTTTTTAAAAGAAAAGAAAAAAAGAGAGAAAAAGATGGTGAAATTATAGGATGTGAGAATTGTGAAGGAAGAAAAGAGCGACAATCAAAAAGAAAAAGGGAAAAAAATGAGCGAGCTAAGAAGTGCGAGGAAAGAAAAGTAAAGAGAAGATTCAAATGGACAGATTGGGATGATGCCAAGTGACCTTATGACCCTCGAAGTCATTCTAGAACCATTAATTGTTGCTAGGTGCATTGCACGCAATGTGATATTTCTGGTGTTAAATGCCCTAACGCTGACGGGATGACCCCATTTTGTTCCTTTTGATATCTTCATAGCAGAAGGGTGGTTGGTTTGTGGTTTTTTTAAAGGGGTAACTTTTCTCTACAACATAAAGTCAAAAAGCAATGGCAGACAACAACAGAACTAAGTTGGTTGATATCGGTGCCCGGAAGCAGTTGTTTGAACAGGACAATGGGTTGGTTGAAGAGGTAAAGATGTTAAGACAACACATGGCGGACATGTATCAGGCTTGGATGACTGGGAAGGCACCACCCCCGCCACCACCTAGCTTCCTAGATGCTGCCCTTACCCAAACTCCGGACCCAATGCCAGATGATCCTCCATACTCTCCAGATCCACCCGCTTATCATGGCTTTCCCAACCACCCTAATAGCTCCATCACTCATCTTTCAATTGTCTTTCCCAAAAATTGCCCTCCTGTCGCATCCACTATACCCAATAATGGATACCCACTCAAAGCTCATGATGCCCAATATTACCCCTCAAAGGTTGCCCATGAGGTTCCTGACTCATACAAGCAGGGCCCGCGGGATGAGCCTCATGTTGAAAATGAAAAATTCACAGGAAGAGAAAAGCGAGATAGGGTATCCAGGAGGCTGAAAGGCGTAGAACAATCCTTAAAGAACAAACAAGGAAGGGGAGACCAGGGTAGCATGGCTTACAAAGAAT